TTTCTGGGCTAAAGCAATCCTCTCACCTCAGTCTCCCAAGTAGCTAGGACTACAAGTATGTGACACCACACTCAATTAAAATATATATATATATTTTTAATATAAATATATATATTATATATAAATATATATTTGGTAAATAAAAGGTCTCCTTATTTTCCAGGCTTGTCTCAAACTGCTGGCCTCAAGCAGTCCTCCCATCTTGGCCTCCCAAAGCTTTGGGATTACAGGTATGAGCCACTGTACACAGCCTCTATTTTTGATGTTGCAGATAGGATCCCTTTCTGTCCATGAATTTATTTTTTAAAATATGGTTACTGTTGAAACATAGAAAAATTGTTAAATTTTTAAAAATTCATATTAAGTGTGAATTTGGCCTCTTTACAGAATTCTGTCATTAGTTCTCACAAATCTCTTTAGGTGACTGTAATATGACTTATAATTAAAAACTATAGATTTGATCTTCCTCTCCTTTTCCTGGCATACAAGCTCCAAAAACCCTTGGAATTTCTGAAGTGAAAAAGAGTCTTTTCCTAAGAGAATGAGATGACTGGTGACTGGGGGCTCTTGGCTAGCCTCTGGATGGGGTCTGGTTGCCAGGGTAACCAACCAGGTGATTAGAGAGTTGAAATTTTCCTCACCTGCACCAATCCCAGGGAGAGAAGGAGGCTGAAAAGTGAGTTGATCACCAATGCTAATGATTTAATCAATCAGGTCTATGTATTGAAGACTCCACACAAAAAACCAAAAGGACAGGGTTCAGAGAACTGTGTTGCTGAACACATGGAGGAGATAGGAGTGGGGTGCCCCCCTACAAGAGGGCATGGAAGCTCTGTGCCCTCCTCCATACCTTGCCTAAGCATCTCTTCCATCTGGCTGTTCATTCTTATCTTTTTATAATAAATGAAAAAATAAGTACATTGTCTCTCTGAGTTCTGTGAGCAACTCTATAATAATTGAACCTGAGGAGGGGGTTATGGGAACCACCCTTTTATAGACGGTTGGTCAGAATCACAGGTGAAACAACCTGGGACTTTCCCTTGGCATCTGAAGTGCAGACGGGCAGTTTTGTAATACTGAGCTCTTAACATGTGGAGTCTATACTCACTCGAGTTAACGTCAAAATTAAATTGAATTATAGGACATCCAGATGGTGTTGAGAATTGGTCAATGTGCAGGGAAAAGAGAACACACATCTGGTCATAAAAGTGTTCTGTGTCGAGCATGAGAGTAGAAAAAGCAGTTTGGTTTTTCCCATCTTTTAGAGTAACGTCCTTGGTTTTATAGGTAGATAATCACACTGTATGCACATGGTCACAGTTTTGACTCTTCCTATTATTTATAACTTTTCTCTTTGTCCCTTTGCATTGATTTGGACATATCAATTGTAATGCTGAGAAGTAGTGGTAGTAGCAGGAAAATTTGCCCTGTTCCTATTTTAGTAAGAAAGTGTCATTTATTCCATTAATATTTATTAATCTCCTACTATGTAGAAACTATCCTACATATCATTAAATAAGACAATGTGTAACTTATATTCTAGTGGGAGAGACATATATAATACACATAATAAATACATAAGTTATATAAAATGTTCAAATGTGAAATATTCTAATTCTAATATACATTCTAACATTTTATGTAATGAAAGTACAGCACGGAATAAGTAAAATCAGAAAGATTGGGAGTGCCAAGTGCTAGTGGGGTGGTGCAGGATAGACCTCATTGAGGAAGTGATCTTTGAGCAGAGTCCAGAGGCAGTCAGAGAGTTAGTCTTGTGGATACCTGGGAAGAATGCATTCCAGGCAGAGGAAATACAATTGTTATGGCCCAAGTACAAGAGTGTGACTGATGTAGCCAGGCCAGTGTGTCTAAAGCAGAGCAAGCAACAAGAAAAAGAAGAGATGAGGTTAGGGAGGTCATGAGGGCAGGTCACATAAATCCATGGAGGAAAGCCTTCGGCTATAAGTTGTTGAGGAATGGAGAACCATTACAGTGCTTTGAAAGAAAGATGACAGGATCTGACATTTTAAAGGATCACTCTAGCCAGGGGCAGTGATACACCCCTGAAGTCTCAGCTGCTGGGGAGGTTGAGGTAGAAATATTGCTTGAGGCCAGGAGTTTGAGGTTTCGGTGAACTATGATCTGGCCTATAAATAGCCAATGCACTCCAGCCCAGGAAACATAGTGAGACCTCATCTCTAACAAATAAAAATGAAAAAATAAAATGAATCACTCTGGTTGCTATTTGAAATTTAGGTGTGAAGGAGTGAAACATTTGTAAAAGCAGGGAGACCATAGAGGAGATTACTTCAATGATGTATGATTAAGATGAAGCTGGTTCCAAGCCCAGGCAACATAGCAAGACTTAACCTCTAACAAATAAAAATAAAAACAAAAACAAAATAAAGTGGAGCACTCTGGTTGCTACTTGAAACTTGGGTGATAGTGACTGAAGAGTTTGTAAAAGCAAGGAGACCATATAAGAGATTATTTCAATGATGTATGATTAAGACGAAGCTGGTTCCAGCCAGGGTGGTGGCAGGGAAAGTATTGAGAAATGGTCACAGTATGTACATACAGACGTACCTTGAAGATATTGCAGGCTCAGTGATATCAGTGAGCTGAATATTGCAATAAAGGCACAAGAAGTTTTTTAATTTTCCAGTCCATATAAAAGTTATGTTAATACTATAATCTATTGTGTGCAACAGCATTATGTCTTTAAAATATTGTACATGCCTTAATTAAAAATACTGTGTTGCTGAAAATGCTAATGAACATCTGGACCCTCAATGAGTTATAATCTTTTTGCTGAAGGATGGTCTTGCCTTGGTGTTGTTGGTTGCTCAGTTGTGGTTGCTGAAAGTGGAAGTGGCTGTAGCACTTTCTAAAAATAAGACAAAAGGAAAGTTTGTGATGCTGTTTGATAGCAGACCCATCAGAGGAATCACTATCTATTGTGGCTATAGCTTGATGAAATGTATTTTGTAAATAGTAAGACTTGGAAGTCAAAATTACTCTTTGATATATGGGCTGAAGAATAAGTGTTATCTTAGCTGGCATGCAAACAACATTCATCTGCTTGTACATTTCCATCAGAGCTCTTGGGTGATCAGATGCATGGCTAATAAGGAGTAATAGTTTAAAGGAATCTTTTTTCTTTCTTTCTGAGCAGGTCTCTACAGTGACAGTAAACCTTGTGGGAAATAGGCTTGCTGTCATCAGGCTTTGTTGTTCCATTTGTAGAACATAGGCAGAGTAGATTTTGCATAATTCTTAAGGCACTAAGGATTGTCAGAATGGTAAATGGCCATTGTCTTCAATTTCAAGTAACCAGCTGCATTAGCCTCTAACAAGAGATTCAGGCTGTCCTTTGAAACTTTGAAGCCAAGCATTGACTTTCCCTCTCTACCTATTACAGTCCTAAATGGCATCTTATTCCAATATAAGGCTGTTTTGTCCACATTGAGAAAGCTGCTTAGTGTAGCCACCCTCATCAATGATCTTAGCTAGATCATCTGCATTGCTTGCTGCAGGTTCTACATCAGCACTTGTGGCTTCACCTTGCACTTTTATGTTATGGAGATGACTTCCTTCCTTAAACCTCATGAATCAACCTCTACTAGGTTTTAATTCTGCACCTTCCTCACCTCTCTTAGTCTTCATAGAATTAAAGAGATTTAGGGTCTTGCTCTAGATTACTCTTTGGCTTATGGGAATGTTGTGGCTGGTTTGATCTCTCCAGAGCACTAAACTTTCTCCATATCACAAATAAGTCTTTTTTTTTTTTTTTTTGCTTTCTTAAACATTCATGTATTCACTGGAGTAGCACTTTTAATTTCCTTCAAGAACTCTTACTTTGCATTCACAGCTTGGATAACTGGGACAAGAGGTCTAGATTTTGGCCCATCTCAACTTTCGACATGTATTTCTCACTAAGCTTAATACTTTTCAGTTTTTCATCTAAGGCGAGACATCAAACTTTTCCTTTCAGTTAAACACTTATAGGTCATTGTAGAGTATTAAAGGGCATAATTTCAATATTATTGTGTCTCTGGGAATAGGAAAGACTAAGGAAAGGGAAAACAAACAAACAAACAAACAGAGGAATAGCCAGTCAGTGAAGCAGTAAGAATACATACAAAATTTACTGACCTCTCATATGCACATAGTTTGTGGCACTCCAAAATAATTATATCAGTAACATCAAAGATCCCTGATGACAGATTACTATAAATGATATAATAAAAAGTTTGAAATATTGTGAAAATTACCAAAATGTGACAAAGAGACATGGTGAACACATGCTCTTGGAAAAAAATGGCACTGATAAACATGCTCAGCTTAGGATTGCTACAAACCTTCAATTTGTGAAGAAAAAAATGCAATATCTGTGAATCCAAATAAAGCAAAGTGCAATAAACGAAGTGTGCCTGTATTTCGATGAAGAGTAGGCAGGAAGGTCTGATGGATTAGCAGTGAAAGAGGGCTATCAAAGCTGACACTCGTAAATGCCACTTTTTGTTCTCCCAACTAGGATCCTGAATTTGAATCAACTGAGATGATGCATATCTGGAGGTGTGATAGAAGGTCATTTTTGATAGGGTGGATTTGTGGTAATTATGGATAGTCAAATAAAATTGTCATGTATACAAGTTGGCTACATGGGTATGGAGTATAGTTGAAGGCACAAAATTGAGAGAGTCATTAGCATAGCTGGTAATCAGAACTGTGAATATAGATGAAATCTTCATGAAAATGCAGTAGGAAAAAGAAGAGGCCCTAGGAATGAGTCATGGGGCATTCTAATGAATAAAAGAAACTAAGAGGAAGTGACCAGTGAGGTAGGAAGAAAACAGAGTATGGTGTCTTGGGAGCCAAGTGAAAAAAACTGTATCAATGAGCAGGAGTATCAAGTATGTCAAATAACTTTCATTTGAAATGTATTGGAAATTAAATCCATATTTCAAAAGAAACTTTATTTTTTTTTATTACAGAAACTTCTCATGGCACAGAACCTGCCAGCAGAAAGATGAAGACACCTGTCCCTATCTGCATGCAGAGTCGTAAGCAGTGATTTTCTAACTTGGCAGTGCTCCTTCGAGTTGACATTTCCAAAACCACCTAGAGGACCAGGAAATTCAGTCAGGCTGGCAGCACCAGAGGTGGGCCTGATCAAATCCCTCCTGGCAAATTATTATTCAAGAAATAAGAGAAAATGGAAGACCCTGGGCACATGTCCCAAAGTACTATAGAGAAGTTTTTGGAAATACTGATTTCCAAATATAGAAAGTTTTTGAGCTTTAATTTATTTGGACCTAGAAGAAAATTTAAAAAATGAAAAATAAGGGAAACCTATTTTCCTACTGTAACTCCTCATCCAGAATGAAGAGATTTGAAAAAATTAGTCTCAATGATTCAAATGCCTCTCCTAAAGAACATATTTTCCTCCATTATATGAGTATTTCAAGTGGAGATTTTTAAATCTAAACAATCAGACTCCAGAATGACTGCTTGTTTTCTTCCTCTTCATGGCTGGGGAGATTTTCTGTCTCTTTCTCTCCTTCCTTTCCTCCCTTCTCCCTTCTTTCTTTCCTTCCTTCATTCTTCTTTTCAATAATTATTGAATAACATAGAATATTCCTTATTCCAGGCCCTTAGGCTACATCAATAAATTTTGCAGACATGGTTTCTGCCTTCATGGAACTTATTGCCTCGTAAAAGATCAATAATTAAATTAAAAGTTACACAAAGAATGATATAATTGTAGTGCTAATAATATATGCTATAAAATATGAGACCATATTATATTAACTTTTAATAAGTCTGTAAGGTCAGGGAAAACTTTTCCAAAGTCAAAATATTTAAGTTGAGATCAAAATATGAATAGGATATAAAGTAATTCCAAATATAGAAGTTTCCCAGACAATGGGAACAGCCTATGTGAACATTAGAAAATGAAGAAAACGAGGTCTAATATGTCCTAGATTTATATTGATAGCCAAAACTGTATCAAAGTGTGAATTACATTCTTTCCACAATCTTCTTTTGGAATCCTATACCATAAGAAAGAGACCCTTTTAAACTCAACCAAATATGTTAATAACACAGGTAACCCAAATTATCTTTACCCAAAAACCTAGATGACCTATAAGCTAACAGAGCAAATTACAATGAATAATGCCCAGAGGGCATAACAGTCTAAAGCAATGAGTTATGAAACTCAAAAGCAATACAAGCTTAAACATGGTAGAAGTTGGATTTTTCTCTCATGTAACAGTCAAAGTGTAGGCATCCCAGGTTGAGATGGTATTTCTATGGTGTTGAGGGCTCAAGTCTCCTTAAATGATATTGCTCAATGATTCCTAGAATGTTTACTTGTTCTGGGTGTTTCAAAATAACTCATAAGGAACAGAAAATAAGTTAGGGAAGTGAACAATATTTTTCTTTAAGGTGTACTATCTAGAATTTTCCTGTATCATTTCTGCTCTTCTTAAGTTAGTACCCAGATAGACTTTGTTATGTGACCACATTTAGATTTGGAAATATGGTTGTTATTCCAGGCAGCCACATATCCAAGTGGAAAATATGAGAAAATAGGTGATATCAGATGATTGGGGAGAACTAGCATTCACATCACAGTGAGAAAGAATGAAAGACATTATGATAACTCGAAGGACAGAAGAACGGGCGAGACTAGATTCCTGATTTTTGAGATGTCAGAATCAAGCAGTATAAATGATATAAAAGAGAGACAGTGTTTGGGGAATGAGGCGAGGCATTAAATTGATTCCAATTGGGGAATTGTCATTATTGAAAAAAGAATAACTGAACTGGACTCCAAAGGGTGTGTCAGGATTTGATCGGAAGAAGAGCTTGAGCATTCCAGGGAGAGGAAACAGCATGTTACAGAGTCTGTCTTGAGAGACCTATATGTGCTTCATGTGCCTAGTGCTGTAACCACACTTACTCTGTTTTCAGATGATTTAATGGATAATCTTAGCTGCAAATCTTGGTCAAAGAAATCCGTATTACCCATTTTAATTTAGAAGCGAATCTTTGAATCGCAATGAATGCATTCCTGAGTGGTTAGGTCTTATTTGATTGACCTAACCAAAAGATAAAGCCAAGATTCTTCTTAGAACCATTAATCCGCAAAGTATGTATCCATAAACATAATTTTTCCTTTTATATTCTAAAGACATTCCCGAAGTAAGGTAAACAGTGAAGTAGGATTTGTAAAATAATCCAACTCAAGAATATCACATCTTATAAAATTGGGATTAACTAAACTCTGGCTTGATGAGAAAATGGTAATTTTCATTAGTATAGTAACTATAGTTTTTTAAAAAGTAGTTTTACATATATTATCAGTTTATTATTAATATAAATATATTACATAGGTATGGATGAAATTGTTGTTTCAATCTAAAGGTGAGGAAAACAAAGCTAAAAGACATTAAGAAATTACTCAATATCAGATAGAAAGAGTTTCAGAGATGAGAATCAAACCCAACACATAACACAAGTACACATGCATTCACTGCTGTGGGGAAATAAAATTTCCCTGTATCTATTTTCAGGTGGAAAACTCAAAACTAAACAAAGGATTGGCCGGGTATGGTGGCTCACGCCTATAATCCCAGCACTTTGGGGAGGCTGAGATGGGTGGATCACCTGAGGTCAGGAGTTTCAGACCAGCCTGGCCAACAGGGTGAAACTCCATCTCTACTAAAAATACAAAAATCAGCCGTGTATGGTGGTGACAGGTGCCTGTAATCCCAGCTAGTTGGGAGACTGAGGCAAGAGAATTGCTTGAACCAGGGAGGCAAAGATTGCAGTGAGCTGAGATCGCTCCATTGTACTCCAGCCTGGGCAACAAAAGTGAGTCTCTGTCTCAAAAAACAAAACAAACAAAAAAACCAAAAAAACATAAAGGACTAAATGCTAATTAACTAAGTACAATTCCCATTCACTCTTTTCTAATCTTGCTTTCATAAAAGGAACGTAAATTTCCTTTTATTCTTATTGGCACAGAAGCTAGGGTCAATTAAGCAAAGATGATGTCATTCCTGAGAATTCTAGGAAAGTTGGACTACATTTCTCATTGTGTTAATTTATGTATAAGTTTTCCCAAGAATAGAGTGCTAGAATATTCTGATATGAGATATAATCTATAAAGAGACAGTCTAATAATCGCTGATTAGTCATGATATTTTAAAAATTGTGTTGTTACAAAAGACTGACAGAAATGTTATAATAATTTACTGAATTACTTTTAAATCAGATTATTGGAGATTATTATTTTGGTTAATTTAAAATCTGAATTTTAAACATTTTAATTAAAATCATTTAAATATTTTAGTAAATAATGTACAATGCAATTGGAAACTCTGCTGGGTGTATCTTAATGAATATTTTCAATTTGCAGTGCATACATGCAATATCTAAAGGGTTGTTAAATAAGTCTTCTATATTCTGATTTTAAATATCCATTTGCTTAAGAAATCAGCACTCTTCCAACTTGGAATCACTGTAAAGACAAATGTTTACCAATGCAAATGTTTATTATTTAAATTACTAGAGTTAGTAAACTTGTCATGTATTGAAGCCACAATGTCTTTGAAGTATGCATGATTACGAATGGTAATAGTTACTATTCATTGAGGAAGTATATGTCCCTCCCCCACATACCTATACACACGTGTGTGTATATGTGTATACATGTGTCAACCTCACAGCTATACTGAAAAGTTTTATCACTCTCATTTATCAGATGTGGATGCTAATGATAAAAGTGACTTGACCAAAGTCACACCGTTTATAAGTGAAAGAAACAAGACTAATCCCAGGCCTGTGTAATTTTACAACCCAAGTCTTTCCCACCATATAAGAATTCATCTCCATATATGTGCATAACTGTCTCTAAAAGAGTTGTACCTTCAAAAGAACATCTGTGTTGACAGCAATGTTCTATATGTTAACAAAGGGATTAATTACACAACTGTGTGCATTATACCTATTATTTGGTACGTTTTTCTTTTGCATTTTTGAGACATAATTTTACAGTAAAATAATAAAACACTGTGTCTTCTAGAGCAATGTCTTCATGACAAAGGGTTTGGGCAATAAACCTTAGGCTGTGGACACTAATCTAAGTTAATAGGGATGGACCCTCAACGTACAGTCAGTCATTGGCGATTGGAGGAAAGCAGTATATTTTGGGAAGATCTCATTACTGTTTATTTGAAAGATGTGCATGTGGGTTAGATAAAATAGGGAATGAGTGGAACAAGAAAACTTTTTTTTTTTTTAGATGGAGTCTTGCTGTGTTGCCCAGGCTGGAGTGCAGTGGCACGATATCGGCTCACTGCAAGCTCCGCCTCCCAGGTTCACGCCATTCTTCTGCCTCAGCCTCCCGAGTAGCTGGGACTACAGGCATTCGCCACCACGCCAGGCTAATTTTTTTTGTATTTTTAGTAGAGACGGGGTTTCACCATGTTAGCCAGGAATAGGAAGGCTTTTACTGTGGGATGTGTCTAAATGCATTATCCCTCATTTAATTCTCAAAACAACAATGAACATTATTTATTATGATACCTGTTTTAAAGACACAGAGGAGTTAACTCCTCTTACGTGGCTAAGTTCTGATTTACACATAGATCTGTTTACACAAAGTTATTGAGGGAAGCAAGGATTCAGGAGTTAAGAGCAGTCAAATAAATGGACAGATAAATAGTGGTGTGCACTAAGAATTGACCCCAAGGCAACCATACTGCATTACTTTCTGAGATTTTACTTACTCAGGGTCTGAAACCTCTATTATCTGGGGTGGTAATGTGGTGTTAAAACAAAACAAATGACAGAAAGGTTGGCTGCAAAATGATGTTAAAATAAAAACAGTCATGTCTATGTGGGCTGACACTACCACACGATGGAGTGTACTGGTCATTTGGGTAAGTGTCTCCTTGGCCATTTCAATGAACTTCCCTGGCAGTTCATTTCCTCTGTATTTAAAAATGGGAGAGGACTGCATGTTAACACATTTTGAAAATAAAAAGGCATTTACAGACACTAGATGTTCTTATTTTAGGATTATAGTCCCAAACTTGCAACAGGGCCAGCCATTTCAACTACACTACTGCTAATTGTTTGGTTGAGAGAT